GAGGCGAAGGAATTGGGAATAGGGGATAGCATTTTTGCAGGAAGGTGGGTGGGAGGAGGAGTATTCTAGGTAGCTGTGGGAGTCACTTTGCTTAAAACCATGAGCCACCTTTTCTTCAGTACAGCTAAGGTTGTGCTTGGAAAACATAGCCATATTAACCACATCTCATCAGAATTATAGTAATGCTGAACAGTCAGTTATATTCAATGGCAAGTTTATTAAAATTTCACAAAACTCTTCAGCTGATTTTGTATCCGTAGATTTCTGTTCACCTGATACGTCAACCTTTTCAATCCTATATCATGTCTCAAAGTGAGTGAGCCATCCTTAAGAAAAGGCACACAACTCTGGGATTTTCATCTTGTCTTCTCATAAAATTCCTTTGCTTTTCCACTAGCATTACTCCAGAGATACATGTATCTTCTGACCTCTTCTGACCATTTGGACAAAGCACAATCCAAATCTTTATGTTTAGGAATATGGAATGTATGACGCTATTCTATCCTAATATCACTCTCGGATTTTCAAAAAACTCTAAGCTTTCCAGTTTGCACTTTAATGTCATAGAACGTTGACAAATCATCATTGAATTCCTGCATATTGTACATTGAAATGTTCACACTTTTCCCATCTTATATACTTTCATTTTCCATTTCCAATTCAAAACAGCAGGATTGGCTTTAGTTTTGCATGGGAGTCTTTTCAGGCAATATAGTAGGTTGTTAGCTGAAAGATTTTGCACATAATGTGATCACAAATTCAACTAGCCACTACTGTAATGGTGCCTGTGATGGGAAAACTGCTCGTGGCAGTGTGGAGAATTGCCACGTGGCATTTGATGTGTTTTTGAAGAAACTTTATAAAAATGGTAAATTTTCTTTGAAATTTTTTTTTGCCAATTACATGAGAATTCCAGATGTTTGTGTATTAGATAATAGAGAGTTTACTGTATATGGACCACCGAAGGAAGTCAAAAGATAATGGGGTATATATGGCAGACAGAGGAATTTTCACTTGTTTTGACATGCCCATTTGAGTTGCTACAAGTTAATATTGTAGCAATGAAGACATGGCTTATGGTAAAAGTATTTGTTTCAGCACTAAGGTTGTGCAAGTTGAAGATTAGTTATATATTACAGACCTAGGAAACTGAATT